CTGAGAGTCGCAATGGAGAACGAGTCGTCGAGCTCCATACTTGATGGCTAGTTTCAAACCTGCAATAACCCGAGAACCTCGAGAACGTGGGGACCTCGAGAACGAGTCCCAGTCCTGATCCCGAGGTGTTAGCGGCACCATCAGTGTAAAGAGTCCATAGGTCGGCATTGGAGGGGGTACGACATGCCTCCAATTCCGCCTCTGGTAGTATCTCTGCGCTGAAGTCGGCTATGAAGTCGGCAAGTACTTGCGACTTGATGGCGTTTCTTGGATGATATGAGATATCGTGCTCACTGAGCTCTATGGCCCATCGGGCGAGTCTGCCTGATAACTCAGGCTTGTGCAGGATACTTCTCAAGGGGAAGGTCGTCACTACCTTTATGGGGTGGCATTGGAAATAGGGTCGGAGCTTCCGTGAAGCTACGACCAATGCCAAAGCTAATTTTTCAAGGTGTGGATACCGTGTTTCGGCGTCCACTAAGGTTTTGCTAATATAGTAAATAGGAGATTGCGTACCTTCATTTTCGCGAACTAGGACTGCGCTGACGGCGACCTCTGATACGGCCAAATATACCAGCAGTGGCTCGCCTGGATTTGCTTTGGCTAGCAGTGGCGGTGAAGATAGGTACGCTTTCAATTTCCTTAGGGCCTCGACGCATTCCTCATTCCACTGTAACCCTTTGTCCTTTCTCAGCATATTAAAAAACTTATGGCATCTGTCGGAGGACCGTGAGATGAACCTAGACAAGGTGGCTATTCGCCCCGTCAACTTTTGCACCTGCTTTTTGCTGTTCAGTATCTCGGGTATTGCGTCTATCGCCTTGATCTGATCTGGATTGACTTCGATACCTCGTTGTGATACGAGAAACCCTAAGAATTTTCCTGATGCCACGCCGAAGGCGCATTTCTCGGGGTTCAGTTTCATCCCGTATCTTCTCAATATCTCGAAGGTTTCTTTCAGATGGTCGATGTGGTCCTCTTTTCTTGCCGACTTTACCAGCATGTCGTCGATATAGACTTCCATAGTCTTACCGAGCTGCTCTTTGAACATTCTGGTGACCAGTCTCTGGTACGTAGCCCCTGCATTTTTGAGCCCGAAGGGCATTACCTTGTAGCAGTAAGTCCCTTGGTGGGTGATGAAAGTTGTCTTCTCTTGGTCCTCCTCGGCCATCATGATTTGATTGTAGCCGGAGTAGGCGTCTAGGAAGCTCAGTAGTTCATGTCCTGCAGTAGCGTCGATCAGTTGGTCGATGTGGGGTAGTGGGAATGAATCCTTTGGGCATGCCTTGTTCAGGTCACTGAAATCCACACACATTCTCCACTTCCCGTTTTTCTTTTTGACCATGACAACATTGGCGACCCACTCGGGGTACTTTGATTCTCTGATGGAGCCGTTGGCCAGTAGCTCGTCTACTTCCTTACTGACCGCTTCATTGATAGCGGCGTTGAATTTTCTCCTCATCTGTCGCACGGGCGGATGTAGTGGATCGACATTCAGCTTGTGGGTGGCGATGTCTCGCGGGATTCCCGGCATATCTGAATGGCAAAAGGCGAACAAATCTGCATGGTTAGTTAAGAATTCACAATACTTACTTGGGTTGGCGAGACCTTGCCCGATATAGGCTTTCTTCGTAAGATCGGTCTCGTCCAATTGAACTGGGTCGAGATCTTCGACCGTTGCTTTACAGGCTTCCACGACGTCGGGGTCTTTGATGGCGTCCGTTGTCGGGTTGACCTTAGTCCCCGACACGGCTAATTGCTATGCCTCCGCGCTCGCCCCCTTTAGATGTTGGGTGTGGGCGCAGTCTTGGGCTATTTTGTAGCATTCTTGTGCGGTGCGTGGCTCGCCTCGAATACTGGATACTCCCCATGGGGTAGGAAATTTGATCACTTGGTAGAGGCTTGAAGGGAACGCCCTCATGGCGTGTATCCACGGGCGTCCTATGATGACGTTGTACGCCGTTTCTTGGTTCATCACATGGAAAGTTGTTTCCAGCGTGACTCCTCCCGCTAGGACGGGTAGTGCTATTTCTACGGACGTCCGTTCCACTGCATTGTTAAAACCGATTAGTGTTATGCAGCGCGGTATTACCCTATCCTCGAGTCCTATTTGTACGAGGACCCTTGGGTGGATAATACAGGCGCCACTTCCGTCATCGATCATGACTCTTTTAACATCTGTATCAGCGATACGTAAAGTGATAACTAAAGCATCATAATGAGGGAAAGACAAACCGTCGACATCAAACTTATCGAAGGCGATACTATCTTCGAAGTCGTCATACCATTCATGGGCGATGGTCCACTTTAGTCTGCGTATGGTGATGAGCTTGACGTGATTGATCAATGACTCGTCGCCGCCTCCGACGATCATGTTTATCGTGCGCGCTGGGGAAGGGGGCTTTGGCGGCCCTTGGGGTTGTTCCCGTCCGCGTGCAAAGTTGATTTTCCCTTTGTCACTGAGAGACTCCCTCAGGTATCCCTGGTTCAGCATCCTGACCACCTCTTGTCGTAGGCCTATGCAGTCTTCGGTTTTGTGTCCCCGTTCCTGATGGAACTCACATAGGGCGTTTGATTTCCTTGTGGCAGGGTCTGATTTCATCTTCTGCGGCCAATGCACCTTGGTGCTCAGCTTCTCCAGTGTGTACACTATTTCTGAAGGAGATACACAAAAGTTATGGGCGGTTAATAAAGGGGGCGTACCTTTTTCATTTCGGAGTGGGGCGACGTGTCGCTGTAGCGCGTCTGTATGCCTTGGTGGTGGATGGGAGGATCTGGTGTATGTCTCATGTCGGTCTCTGTTGGAGCGGGGGATTTGTTCTCGTCGTCCTTCGTTCCGTCGATCTCTCCTCGTTTTCGAGTGTATCGCTGTTAGCCGTTAGGTTGGCCCATTAAGATCGTCCTCGTCCGCTTGTACCTCGGCGCAATAGGCATTGTGGATTTCCTCCCATGTGGTAGGGGGATATTTCATGAGACGGCTCAGCAGCTTCTTGGTTGCCCTCGAACCATCTCTGCTTAGCCCGTTCTGGAAAGCGGCGACTGCCATACCTTCCGATACGTTTGGTAGACTCATCCTTACCCTGTTAAACCTTGCCAGGAAGTCCCTGAGTCCCTCTCCTGTGTTTTGCCTGACCGCGAAGATGTCGTTGACCCTGACCTCCGCTTTCTTCGCGCCTGCGTGGGCTGTGACGAACTTATCTGCCATTTCCTCGAACGTTGATATTGCCTTAGCCGGTAGCTGAGAGTACCATGTTAAGGCCCCTCCTGTCAACGTCTCGCCAAACTTCTTCAGCAGTACCGACGGTACCTGTTCTTTCGATAGGTCGTTGCCCTTCACAGCGGTGACGTAGTGGATCAGATGATCCTCGGGATTTGTGGTTCCGTCATATACCCTCAAGTAGGGTGGCATCTTGAAGGTTTTTGGGGTGGAGTGAGGGGCAGCTTCTTCAGTGTATGGTTGTTCAACGAATCTTCCCACGTCGCGCTTTGGTAGCAACTTGGGAGCACCGGGGATCTTGTCGACCCTCTCCTGATGTTCCTTCATCTGACCGCGGAGCGCCTTGTTTTCATTTTCCATTTCTTCCATCTTCTTTAGGATGGCCGTTAGCGTGCCATCGTTGGGTCTGTGTCTCGATGGGTTTGTTATTTGCTAGTGTAACTTCTGGTTCACCCACGGCAGCGGTGGTACCTACCGTTGGTGTACATCCGATGTCACTTTGTGGTGATCTCTCAACCAAGCCACTTAGAGCGCTTGTCAGCCATCTTTCCAGTAGCTCTTTGACCGCTGAGGGTGCTTCTGTAACCGCAGATGTGGAAGCTCCTTTTTCGTGCAAGATCGTCAGACCTTCGGATGGGAAAGGTGAGATCTCTGTACCCGGTGTGATGCTAGGGGTTGTATTCAGGATGACATCGTCACTGGCCTCGTTGAGAGGGCCAAGGAGATTGGTAGTGACACCCAATATAGCTTTCGATCTTGTGTTATTTTCGGCCATTTTTTTTTTTTTGAAGTGTAGAGAGTGGTAGTTGGTTGATCTTTAGGTGGATACTATGGTTTTGATTCTCGAAATCCCCACAGACGGCGCCAAATTATTTGGCTCAAAAGTTAACAATACACTTTGTAAGCTAAAAAACAATCAAAAGTAGAAAAAGGGTAAATCGTAATCTAATATAATAATCCTAGAGATGCAAAGATGATAATATTGTTGTAGATCTAGTATTGCAAAGGGACAATATGAACTCAATAAGATACGTTCGTTTGAAGTAGAGATAGAGAGAGAAAGCCAGAAAAATGAGAGAGTTGTATTAGATCAGATGCCCCTCTTTACAATGTGAAGGTCTCCTTTATATAATAGGAAACCTTCCTCGAAAGAATCAAAAAGTTACAAAGATAGGTAACGTCTCCCTAGTGAAGACATTGAGTCCTAAACGATGTCGCTTTTGCCCCCATGGCCGAGTCGTACTCGCTACGTTGGCAGGCGTACACTTATTGGGCGTACCCATTGGCGTAGAGATGCTGAGAGTAAAATTTGACCCTATACAATCTCATTGGGAGGTTTAAACATTTTTTTTAATGAAACATATTCATATATAATGAAAATATAGTGCTTTTAACCAAAACAAAAAAAAATATAGTGCTACTCCCTGTTCCCTATGAAGCTAACTATTTGTATAACACTATAGCATGGCTGCATGATCCAACTCCAACTCCCCCCCC